GCCTCTGATTCGAATCTTTTCGATTGTGCGTGTCCAGTCTAGTCTGACCACGAAGATATGCAACCCGAGGAATTACCTTGAAATTTACGTTTTTAATACAATCCAAGAAGTTCCTCTTAGGATATGAAATCTCCATGTAATCCTCGAGAGGACGAGGATCGAAGACAGTGAATCGATCACGTCTTTGTGCCTAATTGTTCGTAACATTGCCCACGACTACGTTACGCGCGAGCGACTTCGGCTGCATCGTTTAATCGGGTATCGATCCGATCTCATTGATCCGACTTCATCGATCCGACTTCATCGATCTGTAACAATTGTTTAAGGATCCTCTCGTGAGTGATATTTTGTGTCATCCTGCAGAGTTAGATCGACGCCCTTAGAATGTTTCCGTGTCTGGCATCAAGAGGGTATGGGGAAAAAAAGACCAACGACCTCCGGTCTCACGGGGATCTATTTTCAGGAAAATTTTTCACTATGCATAAATAGATAAGAGACCCTCGAAATTTCCTGAAAATTGGTTCCATCGAAGCATGGCCACGAGCAATTATTTCTCCCCCAACTTTGTAAACCAAGACGTGAACCGAAGGAAAGTCTAAAGTTTGAGCAAACTCACTGCGTCAGCACTTGTCGATTCATCTGCCATCAGTCTGAAAATAGATGATAAGCCAATTGGCAAGAAAGGGCAGTCCGAGGAACGAACTCGAAGGGAAGAGGACTCGAATGCGACGATGCTGGAAGGAGGGCGCTGGAGTGAAGGAGGCGCGTGCCATCCGCTCGGTTCTTTTTTAATATCAAACTTTTTTCTCCCCGTATCGTAAGATCTGCTCGCCTTGGCAGGAAGAACACGAACGAGATTTCGAAGACCTGTTGGAACCGTATTCATCTATGCCCGGTGCAAGTTTCGCGAGCGCAGATCCCGTGCGAGCGGAGTAATAAAGGCTGAGAGTTTTTTTGCTGCATGGCCTTTCGGAGTCTCGCCCGCATGCGGATGACTCGGCCGCTTCCAAAGCGCTCTCCCACAAAAATAAAAGTCATTTCGTCCCAGGCTGGAGGTTTATGTCTCCAGTCCACGCGAAACGAAGCCTACGTTCGCTGAGCTGAAAATGGCCGATCGTTATCTGCCATCAGTCCGTGGGGAGTTGGAGTCGGCTCGGGGCTTTCGAGAACGAGGAATATTTCCAGAACAGAGAGCATTTCTTGGTCGAGCCATTCTTCTCACACGTGAAGAAGAGTTTGTCAACATAATTGCGATCGACGGATTTGTGTCATAATCTGAATAATAATGATAGGATGGAGACAGTCCGTTCTGACAACTTTTCCCTCTAAGAACTAAGAAGAAAGAAAATTATCCTTGGAGAACCGAGAAGGCTTCCTCAAAGCAAATCGACTCGACCGTCCTCGTTCCAGCTGTGACTCTCATCGATACTCCCCCAGCTCCCCCCCCCCCCCCCCCCCCCCCCCCCCCCCCCC